AGCGCAGGCCCTGAGTTTAGGCCCCAGGACAGGCAAAAAAATTTACATATTCTTCTTAGAATCTTAATTCTGTTTCAAAAGATTGTTGTTGTGTTCTAAAGATCAATGACATACTGTGTTACATAGGAAGATCTGCTTTAGGTGGGTATGAAACTAAGAAGCATGTAAAGCTATTACTAGTAAGATGAGAAATGCTTGTTCAGTAATTATATCACCTTTTGAGGAAGAGGCCACTTATGCTGAAGCTGTCTTTAGAAGAATGGGAGGCCCTTGTCCAGCATTTGCAGAGACAGTAGAGGGACAGACAAACATCACTGCATTTCACCAAAACAGAAAAGTTAGTTTCGATGTTTCAAGCTGACAAACACACCTCCCAAGGATCTACCCGAGTTATGCAGACCGTTCCTATTTGCAAAAGGCACCAGAGATACACCAGCATTCTCATCATATCTGGGGCAAAAATATTTGTTGTATAGCAGGTGCACAACACAACACTCGGAGAAGCCAGTAAAATGGATGGTTTCTGGGATACATCAGGGGTGTCCCCTTTGAGCAACAATTTATAACATTCATTCATTCAGCTGTTACAGAGCAAAGCCACACAAGATTTCCCTTGATGCTAAAGGTCCAGATTGTTTCTCAAAGAGTTACATCCATAACTGTCACTTTTTCTTTGTCAGTTGTGAACCATGATTGATAGGAGAGATCTAGTTTTTCTGCATGTGTATGTCACACACTTCTTGGCTTCCCATCTGTTTTAGTTGATGAACAAGTTCCACTTCTCACACCTTGTCAAAACCATGGTAAATATCTCACTATGATGGGTGGGTAGAAACCAGAAACACAGTGGAAATATTGACATAAGCAACTGACCAGAAGAAAGAAAAAAGAAGCCAGGCGCCAGTGGCTCATGCCTGTAATCCTAGCTACTCAGGAGGCTGAGATCTGAGAATCGAGGTTCAAAGCCAGCCTGGGCAGGAAAGTCCGTGAGACTCTTATCTCCAATAAACCATTAGAAAACTGGAAGTGGCGCTGTGGCTCAAGCGGTACAGCGCTCACCTTGAGCTGAAGAGCACAGGGACAGCACTCAGGCCCAGAGTTCAAGCCCCATGACTGACCAAAAAAAGAAAGAAAAAAGATTTGTTTAAAGAAGAAAGCTGGGGCTGAGAAGGTGGCTCAGTGGTAGGGTACTTGCCTTACATGCATGAGCCCTAGGTTCGATTCCTCAGCACCACATAAGCAGAAAAAAAGCTGGAAGTGGCACTGTGGCTCAAGTGGTAGAGTGCTAGCCTTCAGCTGAAGAGCTTGGGGACTGCACCCCGGCCCAGAGTTCAGGCTCCATGACAGACAAAAATAAAATAAAATAAAATAAAGAAGAAAGTTTTCTGGCATGCAAAAAAGGGAGGCAATTAAATTATTCTGTTCTCTAGTAATATGGAAACTGCAAAGAACTTTTATTAGCTCTAAGCTATTTACATAAAGATGTGGAATTCCAGAAGTTGGGCTTTGGTTCAAAGTGGTAGAGCACTAGCTTTGAACCAAAGAGCTCAGGGACAGTGCCCAGGCGCTGAGTTCAAGCCTCACAACCGACAACAAAAATGACATTGGGTTCCCTCCTCCAGATTCATGACAGACATGGTTTACCTCCAGGAGAAACTCAAAAGGAACCCAACACATAATGCAAACAACATTGGTTAGAGATGTAAAATTTGTTGTGGAGAGAGTAATGAGAGTTGGACCTTTGAAGTGTACTCTCTTATAAAAATGGGACTTTGGTGTTGATTTATTTTTTCTTTATAAATCAAGAAAACAATCTCATATTACCCAGTGCACGACATATGGAGAATTCCTGACCATCCCAGGCTTTTTGAGGTTTCTAGTCTTTTAATACGCTTAAGCCATCAAACATTTCCACAATGAAAATCCTTTCTAAGCCACCTAAATCCTTTCTGGAAAATGGAAGGTTTATAAAAAATAGAGATGCTACTCTCTCCAGCCTTATTGCAATGTTCCTTGTCATGAAAGCTTATATCCAGGACACAAAGGGCCCAGTCCTGGCACAGAGAGCCCATGTCTCTGGGTGTAGAGTTTGATGCTATGGTCAAACTTTGGGTTTTGAGGTATTTTCAAAGTTGATTGTGACCCCATAAAATACAAACAATGTACTTTTCAAGAGTCAAAGTTATAATTCAGCATTCTTGTGCATTTTATTAAATGAAAGTTGGCATTTGTACTACAGTAGCAAGGAATAGTAAAATTAAATCTTTCATAGTTTTCTCAGGTTGTTAACAAGATATGGTCTAATTAATATTCAAATTGACAAAGTTGATATTTTCTGAGCCACACTGGGGTTCTGACTGACTTCCTGCCACTGGTGGATGAGGAAATGGTAGCTGACCAATCAGCTTACAGCACAAAGAGACCCAGGACAGGGTCTGGACAATGCGTGAGTACATGAACTTCTGCAAGCACCAGTAAATTAAAGCTCATATTGAAGCTTCTGAAGTGATTTACCCAGCAGTGTGGTTTAAGAACAGCCACCAGAAACTCCTACATTATCAGATACAGCTAGAGAGCTTTAGAGATTCAGTTACAGTTTCCACAGTAAAAGTTAACACCTAATAAATGATAAATAAAATAATAAATAATGTAATAAATGAAGACTTGAAATACCTTACCCTGTCCTTACATTTAAAAGACTAAAGTTTCAAACAATTAAAGGGGCTAGACACTGTTGGCGTACTCGTGTAATTACAGGATGCTGAGATCGGAGGATCCAGATTTGAAAAAACAAGAGAAATGGTGGGGGGAAAGGCAAAGGAAATATAAGCCAGTGACTGTGCAATGAGAAATTCAGTATTCAAAAATATGTTGGCTATACCCAATGATACTATGAATGATCTCTGAACCTACCTGCAGTACTGTACTGAATGATACAATGATAAAGGGAAAACACTTCAGATCTAAAATACATTGCTCAAACAAATGATGCAGTCAGAAATGAGACTAAAATTTATTTTTTAAATAAAATACAGTGTTTAACTTCAGATACAAAAATGTTACTCACAACCACACTGCTTAGATACCTTCTAAGTTATAATGCCAGCATTTGTATTTTTAAAAAGTTATCCATAGTTAAGTTTCAAATTTAGTATTTTTACGAGCTTTATGGATCTAGATTGAGCTTTTATGTTTCTTTTTAAAAAAATCAGGCTGGCTGTTAATATGATTCTAAAATGAGATTTCAGATAACTTTCCCCTGATAACCACAAAATTCCTTAAATTCTACTTTCTCTCTTTTCAGTAGTTGCATGATTTGAGCTATTTTTTTTCTTGTTTTTGGTTGCCTCACTTGGACATGACTATTAGATTTTAATTCTATCACCTGCCCAAATGAAGTGTTCATTGCCTGCTGCAGCCAAACATTTTAGTGAAATATACCCTAAAGGGAGAGGTTATGGCTGTGCTTCCACTTCCTTTAAGGATAACAGCTGTCAGACTTGTGCTTGTATTCTGAATTCCTACTTATATAAGATGACTGAGGATAATTCAGGAGTTTCAGAATCATCTCCTGTCACAGTGCTGGAAAACATCTTCTGCAAAATGAGCCGGCAATGTGTTAAGAACTCCATCGCAGCTTCATTGAGATGTTCAGTGTATATGCATGAATCAGAGGGAAGGATGATGTGTGCCATGCTGACACAGCCATCCGCACTACTGTCCTGTCCCTACCAGTGCACACATACAGAGAACCTGCATTCTTTGTGTTTTATGTTGTTTTTACATTGTCAAGTTCTTAAGATAACCAGTAGAAACTTGAGAGGAACAGCCTGATGGACAGGAAAGGGTTAAAGTTGTTGTTTTTTTTCCATAGACCATTAGGAAATATTCCAGATCTACAGGAGGAGTGGAAATAATGGTTCCTGAGGAGTCTCTAAAATGAACAGTATTTTAAGAGTTACTTTAGATCTTAAGTATCTCCTTAAACTTACTTGTTGTATGTAACTGTTACACAAAATAGCAAGAATTTATTCTGCTATCAAGCTTGAGACTTGGAAAAATGCTTTACTTGATGCTTATCTGCAAATAGATATCATGATTTCTGTCTGAATCAGAATTAACCAGTACTCACACACATACTCTCACATGGGCACATACATGCGTGTGCGTGCATACACACATAAAATAATAATGTCTAATGGGGAAGTATGTTAATAAGCATCATTATTAACTGATAGACAACCCTGTCAGGATGTCTGATAAACAATAGAACAAGTATTTTGCAAGGCTACAGAGATTTTTTTTCCATTGGTAACATGGCTTAGTAAAACTAAGATTTGATGCTGGGCACTGAGGGTACACACCTGTAATCCTAGTGATGCAAGAGGCTGAGATCTGAGGACTGTGGAGTGAAGCCAGCCTGGGCAGGAAAGTCCATGTGACTCAGCTTCAATAAACTACCCTCCACAAGAAAGGAAGGAAGGAAGGAAGGAAGGAAGGAAGGAAGGAAGGAAGGAAGGAAGGAAGGAAGGAAG